AGTAGAAAGGCCAGGCTCTTCTGGCACATACACACAGGCCTGGCCCTCCAGTCTCCAGAGGCACTTGGTCCACATCCTCACAGCATGGAGTGGATGTGGAGGCTCCTTCTCCTGCTGGTGGCAGTCCCAGGTGAGGACCTCAGGCCAGGGCTGCAGAGGATGCAGAGGAGCTCCTGGCCCTAACTCCAGTGTCTCCTCCACAGGTACCTACTCCCAGGTGCAGCTGGTGCAGTCTGGGCCTGAGCTGAAGAAGCCTGGAGAGGCTGTGAAAATCTCTTGCAAGGCTTCTGGATACACCTTCACTAGCTATGCTATTAACTGGATACGGCAGGAGCCAAGAGGTGGCCTGCAGTGGATGGGGTGGATCAACACAAACACTGGAAATCCAACCTACGCTGAGGGCTTCAAAGGACGATTGGCTTCTCCCTGGAGACCTCTGTCAGCACAGCACATCTGCAGATCAGCAGCCTGAAGGCCGAGGACACGGCTGTGTACTACTGTGCAAGACACAGTGAAGAAACCACATCCAGAAGGTGTCAGAAACCGAGAGAGAAGCTGCTCCTGCTCACCAGACAGCAGCATTAGCTGCACACAGCCTGTGATGGAGGTTGTGATTGAGAGCTGGGAAAGGTAGGAACGGGAGTTTTGCTCATGTGCAGAATATTTTCACGGATATGTTGACAGATCCTGGAATGGGAGAGAAATTGATTGCAGGAGGCACTAATTTGTGGAGTAAACATGGCTCCTCTAACAGCTCTCAGCATAAAGACACTGAAGAGTCTATAGTGAAATCCTCTCTTAGGAGCTGGGACTTCTGACTCCATCACTTGTAGTCCAAGAAGAGGGCAGATCAGATAGCTCACTATGGAGACAGTACAGTGCTTCCTCATGTACAGTAGAGATCACACAGATTAGACAGCTCACTATGGAGATAGAACAGTGATTCCTCAATATATTAAAAATAGATATACTACATGAATCCTTTATATGACTTCTGGTTATAAAGACAAAGAACAACCCTCTGATTGCCTCAATTTCTTTTTACTCATTCTTTTCAAGGTGCTATTCACAGCAACAGTATTCTCTCATCTATCTATGTGCCAAGCAAGGGACAACAAAATAATGATGCTGTTAAAATACCTTCACTGCTGAATATGTTATGCTATCAGAAGAACAAAAGATCCCCCCTAAAACCTTTGGATATGGGAAGTAATTTCAGCAAAGTACAACAAAGAAAATCAGCATTAAAATCAGCTCCTTCTCGTGTACCTCTACCATAGAGAGAAAAAAAATGGGAAAACCGCTATTCACAAGATCCTCAGAAAATAAATAAAATGTCTGGGATACCATGGAGGATAAAGCCCTCTACAGTGACATTTATAAAACAATGACATAAGGAATTGAAAGGAACACATATCAATCAAGGGAATGGAATGACTTTAAATTACACAGATCGACAGAACAGTCATTATGAAAAGGGCTGTATCCTCCAAAGCAGTCTACAGACTTGATCAACCGCCATGAAAAGCCCCGTGGCTTTCTTCCCAGAAATGGAAAATGAAAGTGATGCTAAGTGTCACATAGAAATACCAAAGACCTTGAGCAAAATGAGTAGTGCTGGAAGTGGACAAGACTTAATTCACATTTTGCCACTGAGGAGAGAATAACATTCAATTCCTACAGTAAACACACAGTATGAAAACGGGAAGAAATCTTGGGCATACATGGATCTAACAGAGGATGAATTTCCAGGATATATGAAGCCCTCAAATAATTAATCACCAGTACACCCAATTCCATTAATAAGTATGTAGAGGAATTGGTCAGCCCTCAAAATAAGAATCTCCTATGGCCAATAACACATAAAAGATATTCAATATCCTCAGCCATGAACAAAATGCACATCATGACTGCACTGCATTCCAACTTTACGCTGGTGACAATCAAGAAAAGATATGGGAACTGACAAAGATTCAGGAAAAGAAACCTTCCATGGTGCCCTCAGAATGTGAGCAAGTGCACTATGGGACTCAGAATGGAAAACCCTCCACAGACTAAAAGCCAAGACACCATGATCCTTCTCCTCACTCCTGCACACACCCAAGGGGTCTCGGGCAGTCTATGATATAGTGACCCCACAGTTGTGTTTGTCTAGAACTGTCCACAATAGGAAAGGTTTGGGTATCAGACTGGGTCCCTTCAATGGATTCCTCAATGGATGAACCTAGAAATTATGTAATGTATACAGAATGGAATTACTCAGCTATAAAGAGAAATGAAGTATACAGAATGGAATTACTCAGCTATAAAAAGGAATGAACTTACATCACTGGAAGGAAAATTGAAAAAATAGAGAACACTTTGTTGATGAAAATAAGACAGACACCAAAGGAGTAATATTGCATTTTTGTCTCATTGGTGGAATAAAGATCTGAACAAGATCATTAAGTATGAGTATAAAACTGGAATGAAAATAATATGCGGAAGCCAACAATATTGGTAAAGGGCAGGAGAGCGTAAAATCAAAGTGCATTACACACTTGTGTGAAAATGTCATAAGGAAACCCATTATTTGGTACAATGAAGCTAATTTGATAAGAAAAGGGGCCCAATACTGGTGGCTCACACCTGTCATCCTAGCTCAGATCTGAGGATCACAGTTCAAAATCACCCTATGCCAGAAATTCTGTGAGACATTGATCTCCCATTAATCACAGACAAAGACAGGCATGGTGCTAGCTCAGATGGTAGAGTCCTAGCCTTGAGAAAACTGAGCTCAGGGAAAGAGTCCAGGCCCAGGTTCAAGGCCCAGGACTAGCTGGAAATAAAGAAGTAAACAGAAAACCTGACAGAGCAGAGAGATGAGCTTCGGCATGAACGCTGGAGTGGTCCAGGAGCTCTGATAAGACACTGTGATGGAAAGAGGAAGCCAAGTGTGGCTGCCTGAGCTGAGACTGAAAGGAGCCTTGGAGCAGCCACTCCATCACAGATGCAGGGCTCAGGATGAGGGCAGAGCGGGCATGAATGGTGCGAGCACCGTGCAGCCCAGGACACCCTTAACAGACCCCCTCCACACTGCCCTGAGTGCCCATGTGGCCACCTCAGTCTTCCCAGGGGTGACTCCTGTGTCCTGGCAGTGTGGGACTCAGTGCTGACCCTGTACAGAGCTCGGGCCTCGGGTGTCACACGGTATCTCTGCAGGGCACAGAATCCAAGATGGATGTGTGGAGACCATCTGATTCATGGATGGCTGGGTACAGGCAGAGACAACTAGAGAAATGGGAACAGCACAGGAAGACCACTGGACAGCGTCCTCAGAACTATGGGCTCAGCACCCCAGAGAGGCAAAGCCTAGCTGACCTGTGGGGTGACCTGTGCTCAGTACTGCAGGTGACAAAGCTCAGTGAAAATCCAGCCTGGGAGAGCTGCAGACCACACGCACGGGGCTCCTTGCCCAAGTGTGTCCAGTACTGTGTGTGTGTGTGTGTGCGAGACCACATATGTCCATGTCCACACCTGTGCGCACACATGTACATAGTACAATGTATATGTGAGACATCATATGTGCTCATCCAAACTGCATGTGCACACCTGTACAGAGTATAATATATATGTGTGAGACTCTGTTGTGTGTGCTCGTCCACACTGTGTGTGCAAACCTGTAAACAGTACAGTGTATATGTGCGTGGATGAGAGCAGTGCTCTACAATAAGAGCAGAGAGCTCAGGTCATCCCTGCTTCCCAGAACAACGATGCTAATGGTCCTCTCCTGCTGTTGTTATATGTCTCACTGGGAGACACATGCAATAGACCCTATGGAGAAATCAAAGAGTATAGCTCTTCATAAAGACTAAGTCAAAGACCAACAAAGTAAGCACCAGAAAGAGGGTACTGGGAGTGGAGAGATGAGGGGCAAATGGTAGAAAAATGAAGGAGACAACGTGGAGAATGCAAGCAAGAATACAGTGCCTATGCCACAGAACTGAGAACACTGAGCTAAGGGTGGGTCAAAGAGGAAAGGTGAGGAAGGAATGACACAGATCCACATGCCTTGTATCCACAAACTGCTTTGTTCTATGATGTCAGCATACATGTCCTTAACATTAAGCAGAGAGAGGGAAGAGGTGGTGGAAGGGTGGGCAGGAATGTTGAAATGGGCAATGTTGATTAAGCCACAGTGTGTCATAAACTGCTTCACAGAATGACAACACGTTTATAGAGCGACTTATTTTGTTTTGTTTTTATTTAATTAAAAAAATTGTGTAGTTGATGTGAATCAGGTACAATCAATGCAGTTCTTTTTTTTGGGGGGGGTCCGGTCATGGGGCCTGAACTCTGGGCCTGGGCGCTATCCCTCAGCTCTTCAGCTCAAGGCTAGCGCTCTACCACTTGTACCACAGCGCCACTTCCGGCTTTTTTTCTTTTTGCTTATGTGGTTCTAGGGAATCAAACCCAGGGCCTCAGGCATGCAAGGCAAGCGCTCTACCATTGAGCCACCTTTCCAGTCCTCAGTGCAGTTCTTTATGAACCTTTTTTCCCTTCTGTTGCTCTCTTCCAATCCTTCCTTCCTGTCCAAACCCATAAGATTTCCAGTTCATTTTCCATAGTGTCTGGTGAGTATCACTGTGATATTTATTCATTCCTGTTCCAGAATTTATGTGACCCCATTACTTTCCCAAATACAAACACTTAGTAAACAATACAAAATTAAAATGGAAAATGTTTTTTAAAAAGCAAATGATTAGCAAACTTGACTAATGGAAGCAGAGTTAAACTTCTGTAAAGAAGTTCATATGCAATCTGGTTTTCTTGGAGCCAATTGATTAGAGATATTTCACAGTTTATCCACTCATCTAACAAACTCTGTCTTCCACCTGCATCTCCTCTGTGCACTGCCCTCCTGAGACTTCTGCCCCAGAGCTGCTTTATAGCAGAGGACATGCAAATAGGACATCCCTCTGCCCATGAAAACCAGCCTATCCCTGACCTGAGCTCTGTGAGCTGATTCCACCAGTGACTGAGCACAGACCAGCACCATGGAGCTGGGGCTGCGCTGGGTTCTCCTTGTTGCTCTGTTGAAAGGTGATTTATGGGGAGCAAGGGTCACTGAGTGTGCAAATGGACACTAGTGGGAGGAACTGTGGATGTATGTGACCATTGCTGACCAGGATTCTCTGTGTTTGCAGGTGTGCAGTGTGAGGTGCAGCTGGTGGAGTCTGGGGGAGGCTTGGTGCAGCTTGGGGGGTCCCTGAGACTCTCCTGTGTAGCCTCCGGATTTGACTTCAGTAGCTATACCATGCACTGGCTCCGCCAGGCTCCAGGGAAGAGGCCTGAGTGGCTCTCATACATCTATGGTAGTAGTAGCACAAACTACACAGACTCCGTGAAGGGCCGCTTCACCACCTCCAGAGACAACAGCAAGAGCACACTTTACCTGCAGATGAACAGCCTGAGAGTGGAGGACACAGCCCTCTATTACTGTGCTAGAGACCCAGTGCAGGAAATCCAGTGTGGGCCAGACACAAATCTCCCTGCAGGGCGCTCAGCACCAGCAGGGGGCGCTCGGCACTGCTTGGAGCAGGGGCAGCTCAGGAGCAGCTGCACACAGAGCCCAGGGCTGCTCTCCTGCTGTCTGCTCTGCCTCTGTGTCCACAGTGTGACAGCATCTCTCCTCAGTTTATTGCCACGGACTGGCTCTGTCAGGACGACTGAGGATACCTAGTGGATGATCTGGAATAGGTGGGGAGATGGCAAAGAGACAACCCACACATAAGAGGAGTGGATGCTGAGTGCGATTTAATGCAGAGGATAACAAACTTTTATAGCAAAAAGTCTCCATAAGAAAGGGCAAAAGGTTACACCATCTTGCTGCAGGGCTTCATCCTTGGGTGGTCACCAGCTGGTCAGCTGATAGGCACTTGTTTTCGGCTTATCTCTATTTCTAAGAAATACAATGGGTTTTTTTGTTTATCACCAATTAACCATTACCTTTTTTTATAGAGGCCTTAACTGTCCCATTAAGATCTTTCCTGTTCCTTCTTTAATATTAGGTGACACAGAGGCCTAGATCTAGCAAGTCTCTTATTAAATGAAAGAGTAATAGGAAGTTCTTTCTCCTAAGTAGTTATCTCAGCAATTGCCATACATTCTTTCTGTTCTAGCCGGGTCTACAGCTTCTTGTAAATCTCTTACAAACAATTCCTTCTGCTGAAGTGACATCGTGAAACCCCCAATACTTTTATATTTACTTATGACTTGTCTGCTAGCCTCCATAAGAGGGGCTTCCAGGGTAGCACTGAAAGACCCCCTCCCTAACCAAGCAGGCCCTGAGCCTCCTTTTTTTTAGGGGAACAGAGTTTTGTATCTAACCAAGCTATTTCTGCTAAGAAAATTATATTACCCCACACTCCCCCTTTGATAACTAACCTCACCAGTTAATCAATAAGCCCACACCCTACTAACTAATCCCACCCCGCAGTCAGCCCCCTGGTGTGAGTGAACGACAGGCATTGACTCGGACAAAGGTCAACTTGGACAAAGGTCAACAGGCGCTGACTCGGACAAAGGTCACTTCCTCAGACCAAGGGCCGGAGACAGGGACTCCCTCGAACAGTGATTGGCTAAAACATGATTTGTTTTAAAAGGATTGGCTGCCTGCGTGCAGACCAGGTTGTAACACTTTAAATTTACTGGCTGAAAAAAGCGTGGGCACTCCTGTAACGGACAGAGGGGTCCCATAAAAGGACCATCCCCGGGACTGCTCGGGGTTCCCAGACACTGACCCGAACCTTGCGGATCTCGAGGTCACGTGCACCTGGGAACCTGGGCATGCCCAAATAAAATCCTCTTGCCTTTTGCATCTGGTGTCGTCTGACTGGTGCTTGGGGCAGGAAGGTCCGGATTTGGGGGACACCCGAAGTCGGGGGTCTGACACCCGAAGTCGGGGGTCTTTCAGCACTTAACTCTGGTGAGTTAGTCATATTTTTAAGACACTCATCAGATATTGGAGTTGTCAACACTCATAAGAAAGAGCTTTGAATAAAGGAACATTGAGCATGAGTAAGTACAATGAGCAGCAGAAACAGTAAAAGATTAATAGTCGCTCTTATACAGTGAAGAAAAGAAAAACAAAAACAGAAACACATCTTTCCCAGGGGTTTGCCAGCCTTTCCAGGAGGTAGGCCTCTTTGAAGCCCCATTCTCTGAGGTAGACTTCCGTGAAGTCCCATTCTCAGAGATAGGTCTCTGTGAAGCCCCATTCTCTGAGGTAGACTTCGGTGAAGTCCCATTCTCAAAGATAGGTCTCTGTGAAGCCTCATTCTCAGGTCTGAAAGCTGGTTTCCCATGCTAAGCAGACTCCACTAGAGTAGGCTTGGCACTTTATGACCTGCATTCCTCTGTGATGGTCCAGTCCTCTGCTGGGACTGATAAGAATGAACAGAGTATCACGGTGGAAGCAAAAATGGCTCTGCAGTGGTGACCAGAAGAAACTCAGGGAACCTGGTGACTCCATGAGATTCAGGACAAAGATTCCAGGATTCACAGAGTCAGAATTTGTTCTGTGAACAAGAGGGAAACTGCCTGGCATGGTGACTGGTGTCTGTAATCCTAGAGACCTGGGAGGAGGAGAGCAAAATGAGTATTTGTGGAGGCCAAATGGGCAAAACCTTAATGACAACACATGTCATCAATAAGTTGCATGTGGCAGCTGTTTCCTGTGATTCCAGCTACGCAGGACACAAGTGTGGAATCACTGTCTGGAACCTGCCCCAGGCAAAACCACAGCACAGAAAATAAATCACATCAGAAAAGCTGCAGAAAGGGCTGAAATGCATGTGTGTGCCTAAAATAGTAGCCCTGAGTTCAAAACTGTACATAGAGCGACAGAGAGACAGAGAGAGACAGAGAGACAGAGAAAGACAGAGACAGAGAGACAAAGAGAGAGAAAGGGAGAGGGAGGGAGGGAGAGAGAGAGAGAGAAAGAGCGCACAGCCCATTGACCCATAACTCTTAAGAGGCCTCAAATGCTGCCCTCTTCCCTCCACCTGTAGCACTGCTCAGGGGTTCAGAACTGACCTAAGAGAATTGCTCTATTAATTCACTTTCTTCCTCAGTGATTCTCATACTCTCATTCTGCTTTTCTCTTTGTCCAGCCACCAAATGTACTTGGGGACCCAAGTAATAAAACACAGGGTTCAGCCATACCACTGCCCATGGAACCCTGGGAAAGATTGGTGGACTCCTCAGTGTTCCCTGACCAGGCCCTCTTGCTGTCCTCCATGGGGACCTGGAAGTGGACACGAGGAGTCTGGGTTGGACTGGACAGACAACAGGCCACATGCATGTAGAATGACCTTGCTGGGTCCCGTCTGTCCTGGGGTTTCCTCCATCATGATGGCTCTGGAGTCCTGTGGATGTCCTGTCTGGGATGGAGGCCAGGTCCCTGTGGCTCCGTCATGAGCACTGTCACTGTGCACGCGCATCCTGGGCACGTGGGCTGGGCCCAGGTGATCTCACAGCAATCTGACTGAGCTCCCTGCATCCCGGACACCCCCCACCTGCTCAAACAGGTCCTTGTTTATTTCTCCATTACATCCTGATCAGAAAAGAGCAAGCTTCATTTCCTGAACAAGAACATGTGTGTGAACTCTACAGGCTTTAGGAAGAAGACTTCTAAGTTCAGAGGTTTCCCCTGGACAGTTTTTGTGGATGAGGAGACAAATCATTCATTTCACCAGAAGACATCCATTACTCTGTCCATGTGGAGACTGTGGTGTCTTGGGTCCTCATTTGGATGTGAAAACTCCTCATCAGGAAGAGCTGGTATCTCGTAGCACAACACTAATCATTGTAAAAAGATGAAGAAAGGAAAGATTTCACCAAAACAAAATCATCAATACTTTAGAGCATGTGTCTACTTAGACTATTAGTCATTTAACAATGTATATCTGTATTGAATAATAACCATTACCTGTTAACGTATGTCCTTTATAATAATAACTCAATTAATTAATTGGTAAGCAAATGCATTGGCCCTGCCTCTGCTCTTCCTGCCCCAGCTCTCCTCTGTGTCTGCCCTACTTCTGCTCATCCCCTGACAGCCTCCCAGGGACTTCTCCATGTCTGTGTCTGTAGTCATCCTTGACTGTCTGCATCAGATGTTCTGCTTTCCACTGTGAGGTTTACTTAAACATAAGGAGACTTCACTTCAACAAAGCACAGAGAATAACACATTGGGGAAACTGACTTTGCCATGATCTCCAAGATCAGATCTGAGGAAGGCTCGAGATGAAAAACACAAATCCACCCAAGCCTAATGGAAAATGCTGCCAACAAATCTCCCAGAAACATTGAGACATAATGAAACATATATACAGATATACAGAATTTAAGACTATTAGGAAACACATTTACTATCATGTCAAATATAAACTGTACATCAATGTATTACTAGATTTTAGGCAACTAGCAGCAGCTTAGGTTAGCTACCATCATCTACATGAACATGCCAAGGTGTGTGATACTATGATATTACAACAATCACAAGGTCACTAATAATAGGAATGTTTTATCTGCACCATAATCCTGTGGGACAACTTTATATATCCTGATCATCACTGCCCAAACATTGTTGTGAGCTGAGCTGCTCATAGCTACGTGTTCTGAACGGGAAGTTGGCAAGATGCATGGCAAAGGCCATTCTGATGTTTCTCAGATAGAACTTAGGGATAGGGCAGTGGAGCATGGAGCACAGGACATCCTAGGGAGAATGTGGCAGAGGAGGGCTGAGATTAAAGTAAATGTCCAACAAGAGAAGAACAGATAAAGGAAATTGGAAAGGTGTGGACAATGGAATAGAACTAACCCACAGACTGGGAGAGAGACTGTCATTTGTGATAGATCTAAAGAGAGTTAGATTAAAGGAAATAAACCAACCATAGAAACACCAGTATCATGTTATGTCTTATTTCCAATAACTAATATATGTCTAAGACAAACAGAATCTATCAGACAAGTTGATGTTAGGCGAAGTAAATCCCAAGATAAAGATTCAAATGATTTTTCTTTCTTTTGTTTCTAACATATTTGTAAGATGATTTTTTGTTGCTTTGTATGGCCCTCCCCCACAGTATAACCCCTGCTTTCACTGTAATTGATGTTGGTATAATTTGTGGAGGGGAAGGGAAAAAATTGTTTAAATAGGGATACAGGTGGACACATTGCAACAATGAGATGTACAAGTCGTTATGTCGAAAAACAAACTTTTCAACTTTTGCTGGGTGTGGGGTGCTGTGGGGGAGGAGCAAGGGGAGGGGATGTGGGAGGGGGAGAATGGAAGGGATAGGAAGTGGAAACAAAGGAGGTGTCAACAATACTTGATAAGAAACGTACTCATGATCTTGATCATGTAATTGTAAACATTCTCTATGGTATTTCAACAATAAAAAAATTGCAAGCAAATAAGGAATCCCATGGTTTTTAAAACAATTTGAAGAACAAACAAATACTTTATCCATAGTTACCAAATCAGTGTTTACCTATTAGCACTGTATGTTACATGTAGTGACTCATTGTGGTTATCACAATATACAATACATGGCATACTGTCAGAAATGCAGAGTGCATAGGAACCACAAAAACAAACAAGAAAGCCAGACTGTGAAACTGATACACCAGAACCCACTGTCAAGCATATGCGTGAAACCTGACCATCTTGGTTTGTGGTCAGAATGAAGAAAAGTGCAGCAAAGCCACAACTGGTCTTGGCTCAGGAAGGAGGCTCTGCAGAGCTCACAGATGAGCACCATTCTCCTGGAAAACACCAGGAACTGTGGGCCCTCCTTGGCTGTGCAGGCCCAGACCAGGCATGGAGCTCATAGCACGTGAGACACTGCCAGGGTGGAAACGCACTCACCATTGTTTTACACTCTTGCGTGTGCACAAGGAAGTCAGGCGTGTTGCACTTTGTGGTATGTGTGTGATCAGAAATGCTGACAGAATGATCACCAGGCACAATGGCAGAGTAAGAGGACATGTGTGTCCCTCTGCACCCCAGACAGCTCTCAATGTTCTCACACACTGCCTCAGGCTCCTAAGGAGCTGTAGGTACAGTGTGAACCACAGTGCATGGTCAGTGCTTCATGATTTCTCCAAGGTGACCATTGTCACCAAACTCCTCCAGCATAGTCACTTCTGCTCTGGGAGCCCAATCTCTAGACTTCCCCCCAGAGCTGCAGAGGACATGCAAATAGCACCTTCCTCTGCCCATGAAAACCAGCCCATGCCTGACCTGAGCTCTGTGAGCTGATTCCACCAGTGACTGAGCACAGACCACCACCATGGAGCTGGGGCTGCTCTGGGTTCTCCTTGTTGCTCTGTTGAAAGGTGATTCATGGGGAGCAAGGGAGACTGAGTGTGCAAATGGACATGAGTGGGAGGGACAGTGGATGTGTGTGACCATTGCTAACCAGGATTCTCTGTGTTTGCAGGTGTGCAGTGTGAGGTGCAGCTGGTAGAGTCTAGGGGAAGCTTGGTGCAGCCTGGGCGGGGCCCTGAGACTCTCCTGTGTAGCCTCCGGATTCGACTTCAGTAGCTATGGCATGAACTGGGTCCGCCAGGCTCCAGGGAAGGGCCTGGAGTGGCTCTCATATATCTATGTTAGTAGTAGCACCAACTACACAGACTCTGTGAAGGGCCGCTTCTCGACCTCCAGAGACAACAGCAAGAGCACAATTTACCTGCAGATGAACAGCCTGAGAGTGGAGGACAGGGCCGTCTATTACTGTGCTAGAGACACAGTGCAGGAAATCCAGTGTGGGCCAGACACAAATCTCCCTGCAGGGCGCTCAGCACCAGCAGGGGGCGCTCGGCACTGCTTGGAGCCCGGTCAGCTCAGGAGCAGCTGCACACAGAGCCCAGGGCTGCTCTCCTGCTGTCTGCCCTGCCTCTGTGTCCACAGTGTGACAGCATCTCTCCTGAGTTCATGACCCGCACTCCTCTGTGATGTCTCCAGTCCTCTGCTGGGACTGTTAAGAATGAACAGAGTATCATGGTGGAAGCAAAAATGCCTCTGCACTGGTGACCAGTATTTGATCCTGAAGAAGCTCAGGGACCCTGGTGACCCCATGAGACTCAGGCCAAAGATCCCAGGATTCACAGAGTTGGAATTTGTTCTGTTAACAACAGGGAAACCGCCTGTCATGGTGACTGGTGTCTGTAATCCTAGAGACCTGGGAGGAGGAGATTAAAATCAGTATTTGTGGAGGCCAAATGGGCAAAACCTTAATGAGAACCCATCACATCAATAAGTTACATGTGTCAGCTGTTTCCTGTGATTCCAGCTACACATGAGGCAAGTGTGAAATCACTGTCTGGAACCTGCCCCAGGCAAAACCACAGCACACGACCAGAAAATAAATAACATCAGAAAAGCTGCAGAAAGGGCTGAAATGCATGTGTGTGCCTAAAATAGTAGCCCTGAGTTCAAAACAGTACAGAAAAAGACAGAGAGACCCAGAGACACAGAGACAGAAAGAGAGAAAGGGAGAGGGAGAGAGAGAGACAGAGACAGAGACAGAGAGAGACAGAAAGAGAGAGAGGGAGAGAAGGGAGAGAGAGAGAAAGAGCACACAGCCCATTGACCCATGACTCTTAAGAGGCCTCAAATGCTGCCCTCTTTCCTTCGCCTGTAGCACTGCTCAGGGGTTCAGAACTGACCTAACAGAATTGCTCCATTCATTCACTTTCTTCCTCAGTGACTCTCATACTCTCATTCTGCTTTTCTCTTTGTCCAGCCACCAAATGTACTTGGGGACCCAAGTCATAAAAGACAGGGGTTGGCCATACCCCTGGAGCTCAGCCCATGGCACCCTGGAAACGTGGTGGACTCCTCAGTCTCCCCTGACCAGGGCCTCTTGCTGTCCTCCAGGGGACATGGAAGTGGACATGAGAAGTCTGGGTTGGACTGGACAGACAGCAGGCCACTTGCATGTAGACTGCCCTTGCTGGGCCCCGTCTGTCCAGGGGTTTCCTCCATCATGATGGCTCTGGAGTCCTGTGGATGTCCCGTCTGGGATGGAGGCCGGGTCCCTGTGGCTCTGTCATGAGCACTGTCACTGTGCACGCGCATCCTGGGCACGAGGGGCTGGGCCAGGTGATCTCACAGCAATCTGACTGAGCTCCCTGCATCCCGGACGCCCCCACCTGCTCAAACAGGTCCTTGTTTATTTCTACAATACAATCTGATCAGAGAAGAGCAAGCTTCACTTCCTGAACAAGAACGTGTGTGTGAACTCTACAGGCTTTAGGAAGAAGACTTCTGAGTTCGGAGGGTTTCCCCTGGACAGTTTTTGTGGGAGAGGAGACAAATCATTCATCTCACCAGGAGACATCCATTACTCTGTCCATGTGGAGACTGTGGTGTCTTGGGTCCTCATTTGGATGTGAAAACTCCTCGTCAGGAGGAGCTGCTATCTCATAGCACAACACTAATCATTGTAAAAAGATGAAGAAAGGAAAGATTTCACCAAAACAAAATCATCAATACTTTAGAGCATGTGTCTACTTAGACTATTAGTCATTTAACAATGTATATCTGTATTGAATAATAACCATTACCTGTTAACGTATGTCCTTTATAATAATAACTCAATTAATTAATTGGTAAGCAAATGCATTGGCCCTGCCTCTGCTCTTCCTGCCCCAGCTCTCCTCTGTGTCTGCCCTACTTCTGCTCATCCCCTGACAGCCTCCCAGGGACTTCTCCATGTCTGTGTCTGTAGTCATCCTTGACTGTCTGCATCAGATGTTCTGCTTTCCACTGTGAGGTTTCAACAAAGCACAGAGAATAACACATTGGGGAAACTGACTTTGCTGTGATCTCCAAGATCAGATCTGAGGAATGCTAGAGATGAAAACACAAATCCACCCAAGCCTAATGGAAAACATTGCCAACAAATCTCCCAGAAACATTGAGACATAATGAAACATATATACAGACATACAGAATTCAAGAATATTAGGAAACACATTTACTATCATATCAAATGTAAACTGTACATCAATGTATTGCTAGATTTTAGGCAACTAGCAGCAGCTTAGTCTAGCTACCATCATCTCCATGAACATGCCAAGGTGTGTGATGCTATGATATTACAACAATCCCACTAAATAATAAGAATGTTTTATCTGCACCATAATTCTGTGGGACACCTTTTATATATCCTGATCATCACTGTCCAAAATATTGTTGTGAGCTGAGCTGCTCAGAGCTATGTGTTCTGAATGGGAAGTTGGCAAGATGCATGGCAAGGGTCATTCTGATGCTGCTCATTTAGAAATTAGGGAGCAGAGAGCAGAGGACATACTAGGGAGAACCTGGCAGAAGTGGCTGAAGCACGTTCACATCTTGGATGGCTGTAGAAGTCCACCTAGGGTAGGCCAGCAAGCTTATGGGAGTGTGAATATCTCAGCAGAGTCAAGCATTCAGGATTGCTTTCTTTACTTGTAATAAAATGTGAGAAGAGGACAAAGAATAATGTAAAGTCAGAAACAATCAATGGGTAATGAACAGAGAGTTCTATTAGGAGGTGCCACAGTACAGCAATGGCCAAGGTACAAATCCTAAGATTTGCTGTGGACAGAGAGAGGCCGGGGCTGCTGACCAGAAAAACAGAAATGAGAACCAGGGACATTTCAGAGGCAGCCACCCCCAACTTAGACCCACATTGCAGCACCTTCTGTGTTCTGCTGAGATTTTAACATAAGACACACACACATTTTAAATGTCACCCTCAGGGACTGAAATGACTGCAGGGACATCAGGGCCTCTGGTCCTGAGCGAGGCTCTGTCCTGTTCAACCCCAGGCCCAGGGCCTGTACCTCTCCCACCAGACCACATTCTGAACGTTCACCTCCTCTCTGTGCTGATGTGCTGGGGACCAAGATCTGACTTTCCACTTGGACCTCCAAGTTATGGAACCCAGAAGCACAACCCTCCTGACACTTTTGACTCAAGTTTGAGTAAGAAGCCATACTTGTCAGTAGCATTATGGAAAGTGTGCCATATGAATGCCTCTGTACACACATGCTCAGACACATGAACACACATCAATAACAGGTCAGGTCTCCCATTCACATTCATGTGCACATACATCAACAACTTCCAGGTCTCCAATGAAGACACAGGGAAATCAAGGCTTTCTATGCAGAATATAGAGCCCATGGAATAGCCAATTGATAATTTAGATTTTATATCAGAATCAATTAAATGTGTAAGTTGAAATTCATCAAATTTCTGCACAAGTGAAAAATAAATAAATGACATTCTGTGAAGAGGAAGAAATGTCAAATCAGACACCCAACAGTATTTGTGCATCCAGACTGTGAGAGGAATCCTAAACACAACTGTTGGAAAACCCATTGATGAGCTGGCAAAGACCTGTACAGATATTGTGTAGTTGTGCCTAGGCTAATGCATGTCAAGTGCACACTTGGTGACTGTGAGGTTCATGTAGGCATGTATCCTCAGTGAGGTTGTTGGTAGTAAGCAGTCGATGAGATGAGAGGAAGTGACAGACATGCAGATGATGACAGAGGACATGCAGGCTTGTCAGCAGTGTCCCCATGAGCCTGGCTCTCTGAGTCTTCTTTCAGCAGCTCCTGCAGTGCATCACGTCTCTCCTGCTCTCACTAGAGGACCGTGACCCACTCAGCTCAAGAATGGAGCAGAGGACACTGACCTCAGCAATGAGGGAGAGGAAGGACAGATGACGTCGCAGACATGAGATCTTCTCCCCAGAGCACACTGCTGTGTGGAACCTGTGTGTACTTTCCCGTCTGTGCAGGGAGGTGACTGTACTATTCAGATCAACGTGGGATGACTACGTGGATAACCAGCAGGTGGAAGCAATGGGTGCCGTGTGTTCTGGGAGGCCATCTTTGTAGCAATGCCCCTCAGGACTCTCACATCTGCCTCAGCACTGCCCTCCCTGACACCTCCACCCCGGCTCTCACTATGTAGCAATGCACCTCAGGACTCTCACATCTGCCCAAAAAAGCTGCAGAAAAGGCTAGAGGTCGGAGGGGGGGGGCTAAATTGTAAGTCCTGACTTCAGAACAGTACACAAAAGGAGAGAAAAAGAGACAGACAGAGAATGTGCACACAGCCCATTGACCCATGACTCTTAACAGACCTCAAATGCTGCCCTCCTCCCTCCACCTGTAGCACTGCTCAGGGGTTCAGAACTGACCTAACAAAATTGCTCCATTCATTCACTTTCTGACTCAGTGATTCTTGGTATCACAGACTCATTTTCTCTTTGTCCAAACACCAAATGTACTTCGGGGGTCAGCCATACCCCTGGAGATCAGCCTATTGCTGAGCTGGGAAACGTGGTTGACTCCTCAGTCTCCCCTGACCAGGCCCTCTTGCTGTCCTCCATGGGGACATGAAAGTGGACACAAGGAGTCTGGGTTGGACTGGACAGACAACAGGCCATGTGCATGTAGACTGACCTTGCTGGGCCCCATCTGTCCTGGGGTTTCCTCCATCACGATGGCTCTGGAGTCCTGTGGATGTCCCGTCTGGGATGGAGGCCGGGACCCTGTGGCTCCGTCATGAGCACTGTCACTATGCACACGCATCCTGGGCACGAGGGGCTCGGACCAGGTGATCTCACAGCAATCTGACTGAGCTCCCTGTATCCCGGACACCCCCACCTGCTCAAACAAGTCCTTGTTTATTTCTCCATTACACCCTGATCAGAAAAAAGCGAGCTTCACTTCCTGAACAAGAACCTGTGTGTGAACTCTACAGGCATGAGGAAGAAGACTTCCAAGTATTGCGTTTTTCCCTGGACAGTTTTTGTGGATGAGGAGACAAATCATTCATCTCACCAGGAGACATCCATTACTCTGTCCATGTGGAGACTGTGGTGTCTTGGGTCCTCATTTGGATTTGAAAACTCATCAGGAGGAGCTCGTATCTCGGAGCTCAACACTAATCATTGTAAAAAGGTGAAGAAAGGAAAGATTTCACCAAAAAAATCAATATTTTAGAACATGTGTCTAATTAGACTATTTGTCATTTAACAATGTATGTACATATTGAATAATAACGAGTACCTGTTAACATATATCCTTTATAATAATAAAAAAAATTAATTGGTAAACAAATGCATTGGCCCTGCCTCTGCTCTTCCTGCCCCAGCTCTCCTCTGTGTCTGCCCTACTTCTGCTCATCCCCTGACAGCCTCCCAGGGACTTCTCCATGTCTGTGTCTGTAGTCATCCTTGACTGTCTGCATCAGATGTTCTGCTTTCCAGTGTGAGGTTTACTTAAACATAGTGAGACTTCACTTTAACAAAGCACAGAGAATAACACATTGGGGAAACTGACTTTGCCATGATCTCCAAGATCAGATCTGAGGAAGGCTAGAGATGAACAACACAAATCTACCCAAGAATAATGGAAAATGCTGCCAACAAATCTCCCAGAAACATTGAGACATAATGCAACATAAAGTGTTTCATGATATACAGAATTCAAAACTATTAGGAAACACATTGACTATCATATCAAATGTAAACTGTACATCAATGTATTGCTAGATTTTAGGCAACTAGCAACAGCTTAGGCTAGCTACCATCATCCACATGAACATGCCAAGCTTTGTGATGCTATGATATTACAACAATCACAAGGTCACTAAAAATAGGAATGTTTTATCTACACCATAATTCTGTGGGACAACTTTATATATCTTGATCATCACTGCCTAAACACTGTTGTGAGCTGAGCCGCTCATAGCTACGTGTTCAGAACGGGAAGTTGGCAAGATGCATGGCAAAGGCCATTCTGATGTTTCTCAGATAGAACTTAGAGATAGGGCAGTGGAGCATGGAGCACAGGACATCCCAGGGAGAACATGGCAGAGGAAGGCTGAGATTAAAGTAAAGGTCTAACAAAAGAAGAACAGATAAAGGAAATGGGAAAGCTGTGGACAGTAGAATAGATCTAACCCACAGACCGGGAGAGAGACCGTCATTTGTGATAGATTTAAAGAGAGTTAAAGGAAATAAACCAACCATAGAAACAACAGTATCACATTATGTCTTATTACCAGTAACTAGTGTATGTCTGAGACAAACAGAAACTATCAGAGAAATTGATGTTACGTGAAATGAACCCCAAGATAAGGATTCAACTGTTTTTTCTTTCTTTTGATTGTTTCTAACGTATTTATAAGATGATTTCTTGCTTGCTTTGTATGTCCCTCCCCCACAGTATAACCCCTGCTTTCACTGTATTTGATGTTGGTATAATGTGTGGAGGGGAAGGGAAAAAATCATTTAAATAGGGATCCAGGTGGACACGTTGCAACAATGAGCTGTACAAGAACAATGGCAGAGTGAGAGGATGTGTGTGTCTCTCTGCACCCCAGACAGCACTCAATGTTCTCACATTCTTCCTCAGGCTCCCAAGGAGCTGCAGGTACAGTGTGAACCACAGCACGAGGTCAGTGTGTCATGATGTCTCCAAGGTGACCATTGTCACCAAACTCCTCCAGCACAGTCACCTCTGCTCTGGGAGCCCAATCTGTAGACTTCCCCCCAGAGCTGCTTTATAGCAGAGGACATGCAAATAGCACCTTCCTCTGCCCATGAAAACCAGCCCATCCCTGACCTGAGCTCTGTGAGCTAATTCCTCTAGTGACTGAGCACAGACCATCACCATGGAGCTGGGGCTGCGCTGGGTTCTCCTTGTTGCTCTGTTGAAAGGTGATTCATGGGGAGCAAGGGATACTGAGTGTGCAAATGGACATGAGTGGGCGGAACAATGGATGTGTGTGACCATTGCTGACCAGGATTCTCTGTGTTTGCAGGTGTGCAGTGTGAGGTGCAGCTGGTGGAGTCTGGGGGAGGCTTGGTGCAGCCTGGGGGGTCCCTGAGACTCTCCTGTGCAGCCTCTGGATTCACCTTCAGTAGCTATGGCATGAACTGGGTCCGCCAGGCTCCAGGGAAGGGGCTGGAGTGGCTCTCATACATCAGTGGTGATAGTAGTTACATAAAGTATGCAGACTCCGTGAAGGGCCGCTTCACCACCTCCAGAGACAACAGCAAGAGCACAGTTTACCTGCAGATGAACAGCCTGAGAGTGGAGGACATGGCCATCTATTACTGTGCTAGAGACACAGTGCAGGAAATCCAGTGTGGGCCAGACACAAACCTCCCTGCAGGGCGCTCAGCACCCGCAGGGGGCGCTGGGCACACACTGAGGTCATGGCAGTCAGCACCAGCAGGGGGCACTGGGCTCACACTGAGGTCATGGCAGTCACAGGAGCAGCTGTGGAGCTCAGGCCCTGACTCCTCTCTGTGCCTGGCCTCTCCACAGGACACAGCATCCCCCACAGAGCTGTCTAGGGTGTTAAGGGCTTCGTACATTGTTCTCCAATTCCACTGGTTTCTCTCCATCTGCAGAGATCCTGAGTGGAGTCTGTCTGGCCTTCCCTATGTTGTCCTTCCTCTTCCTAGAGGAAGAGCAGACACTCGCTGCTCACTTTTTTTTTTTTTTTTTGGTAGGACCTTGGGCTGGAACTCTGGGCCTGGGTGCTGTGCCTCAACTCTTCAGCACAAGGCAAGTGCTCTACTGCTTAAGTCACATCACCACTTCTGGTTTTCTTGTGGTTTATTCTCCAATAAAGTCCCTGAGAGTTTCAGGGACTTTCTTGCCCGGGCTGGCTTTGAACCACCATCCTCAAATCTCAGCCTCCTGAGTACATGGGTTTGCAGGCATTAGCAAGGGACACTGGGCTCATACTTACTTGTTTACACTCAGCCTCTTCCAGACCATGGAAATACTTCCTGTGAGTCACAGACATCTTCCTGACGCCTGGAATGCCAGGCAGGCCTTTGTTTCCTTGCTCGCCGTTCCTGGGTGTAGGACATCGGGATGCGGTGAGGATGTTGTGAGGATGCTGCATCCGAATTCGGAACACACTGTGTCTCCCCATCCCCGGCACTGAGGTTCTCTGTCCTCAGATGTCCTTTACCAGCAGCTGCAGGAGTCACACAGCCTGACCTGGCCAAGCCCGCACGCGGTCTCTGTCCCCTGCCTGCACCATGTAGGTAGCAGTGCCGTCATTACTGATAGAGCCGGGTCCCACAGCCCCAGAGAAGCTGCTGGGAGGGACAGGAGACATCTTCAACTGCAGCCGTCTCTCAGGAGTCGAGTCACAGTGTCTGAGGACACAGCCAAGAACCAGATGTCCATGAGCTGAGCACGGTGACCACCAGGACCCAGCCATGGATTACTGTGCAAGAGACACCGGGAGAGACATCAGTGTGAGTCCTGACACAGACTGTCCACCAGACCCTGAGCCTGAGCTGCAGAGGTGCTCAGGGCCAGCAGCCCTGGATCTCACCCCAGAAGCTGGGTGGGAGCTGGGTGTCAGGTTCTGTGATGCTCCCTCCTCCCATTCCCGGGGTCCCTCTGGATACCTCCCCAGCACCCACAGTCCCTCTGGACATGCCTGCCTTCTTTTTTTCCTCTTACTCACGTGCTCACTGGGGCACTGTGGGAGGGAAGGACTTCCTCTGTGTGTGGATGAGATGGGATCAGCCATCAGCTTCCTGTGTAGCACAGTCACTTCCTGTGTCCTTCTTCCCTGATGCCCACACCTGTCTCAGGTGAGCGGCCTCCCTTCCTCTTCCCCTCAGGCCCCGTGCTGTCCACTCTGTGGTCACTCCTGCTTCACAGCGCATGGCAGCTGCTGATGGTCATTTCCACTCTGTCTACATCCTCAGGATGGAGGGGGATGGAGGACCACCTGAGCTCTCAGTCCCCAGCAGGGGGCAGAGGCAAGGGCAGAGAGGAAAGCCCTCCCACCCAGGGGTTTCCAGGGGTCTAACGGAGGCCCGACTGTCTCTCAGGGGGTGTTCCAACATGGTTGACAATGCAGACTCAACTGCACTAAAAATCCCTCGAACAAGAGTATCCTCAGCTAGGGACTGAAATGTGTTTACCTATGAGACCTATAAATGTAAGTGAAACAAAGAGACAATGTGATGTCCCAAGACTCCAGGCTTAAATGAGGAAGTGAGCCGCCGAGTGCAGCCCTCTCCTGTCATGGGGACCATCCACAGAGGCTGAGGAGCCTTCATCCTGCCCTCTGCAGCCACCACAGCTGCCTGGCTCACAGCACTGCCGACCTCGGCATCTCTTTCCACTGAGAGGTGGGCTTCAAACTGTAGACCTTTTTCTTCTTGGTTCTGTTTCTCTGTGTTTGAATGGTGCTGTTTACCCTTTCATGATTCCTGGACTCTTTCTGTCTTCCTATCTTCTGAGCACCATCTGTCATTTGGGACCCTGAGCCTTCTCACTGATGCAGGGAATTAGAAGAATGGAGGATGGTGCTAACCTCCTAGTTTGCTGTTTGTGGTACAGTGATTTGAACTGCATGCTTTCCACTTGCTAATCCAATGATCTGCTGCAGATTCACACCTGCAGCACTGTTCACCATTGTTTATTTTTGAGATAGTTTCTTTCTGCAGAGGCAGACATCTGGATGGTGATTCAGAAGAGAGTAGAAAGCAGGGTGGGTGCTTTCCATGATTCTCCTGGATTCTCCCCATGGAAGCTGAGCATTCTGTCTTAGGACAGTCTCACAGAAATGCTTTTAAATCCCAGGCTCAAGCCTGTAATCCTAGCTGCTCAGAAGGCTGAGATCTGAGGATCATGGTTCGAAACAGCCAGGGCAGAAAAACCTCATGAGACTCTTATCTCTAATTACCCACTCAGAAACCGCATGGCGCTGTCTCTCAAAGTGGTAGAGCATTAGCCTTGAGCAAAGGAACTCACAGACAGTGCCCACATTGTGAGTTCAACCCCCACCAACAACAAAGATATAAAAAGAAAGAAATCAGTTTGATCAACATGTGTCCATCAGTGTCACCCATTAAAACTTTCTCCCCATTCCCACACAATTATATTTCTTCCTAAAATTTGAACCTAAACATCATTTATGCTGAGTGGCCTACCACTAAGATATATTTGTATACTTTTAAATTGACACAATACATTTAGGAGAGATATCTTAATAATTTGATATGCTAAAGTAATGTGTAATGATAAAATTCAGGTAAATATCATAAGCTTCCCTTCAGTGTTAAATTAATGCAAGACAATTTAACAGCAACCAGTACAAGAAAAATGAAATTATACTCAGCAATGACACATGTTTGGTTATCTTATCTGCACATTTATGCAGGCTTCTGTGCAAATAGCAATAATTTGAGGCCAAGCACAGCAGCCTTGCTTCATCAGAAGACCTCCTGGGAAGGGCTGTAGAGCTCTGGCTGAGGGCCAGTGGCTGAAGCCTCTCTGTGGGTGCAGCAAGGAATTCCTGTGTGCTATGCACCCGGTGTGGAGCGGCTGCCTTATCTAATGCAGGACTGAGAGGCTTTCTTTCAGCAACCACAGTGCGGCTCTGACACAGGCCTGTAGTTGGGTTTTTGGGATCTTCCCCTGCAGGACCCTCAGCTGGATTATGGTGCTCATTGTCTGCCCTGGCAGGTCTGAGAGGCACAGTCTCCAGGGGAGCTGCCCACCAGGCCTCCAGCCTTCTGCCTTCTGCCTGGCGTCCCATCACTTCAGCTGTGCGCGCTTCCTGCCAGCAATTTGACCTTCCTTCTCAATCTTCTCATAACATATGTAAACACAAGGTCTATGGCAACCTGCTCTGTATACCACCACATCTCTAATGTTCCACAGATGTCCTCTCCACAGGACAATTCCTAGGCCTGAGGGACACAGATCAACACACTGGCTGGAGTCCAGGCCTTGAGGTCAGCTTCTCACAGCAGATCTGTCTCTACCTCCAAGTCCCTGAGGTGACAGCGAGGTCCTCAGCCGTGTGTCCCATGGCAGAGATGCCAGTCCCTCTGTGAGCACACCTGCTGTTACCTGCTGAGGGCTCAGCTCTCTTCCCCAGCAGGAGAGCTGCACACAGGTCAGAGCTCAGTGCCACAGTTTCTCCACCCTGACTGCTACTCTGCCATGTCCTGGGTCCCCAGGAACTCCCTGTTGCTTCTCCTTTCCTCTCTTCCTCAGAATCTGCTCAGCTTTGTGTCAGTGGATTCTTGTTGTTGGACAAAAGTGTTGTTCACCTTCAACTCACCATCTTGTCCAGCACTAGGAATCACTGTAACCAGTGACTTGAAAGACAGATGCAAGGAAACTGTCAAAGGGTTGATAAAACAATTTGAAGAAGTCAAGGCATTTGTCCATAATTACCAAATACCCATTTACCTATGAGCACATTTTTATGGATTGTGAATTATTGAGATTATTATTATTGACATTAACAACACACATGATGTTGTTACAAGTAAATGCACATAAACAGGATAAACAAACAAGAAAGCTAGACTATGACAACACCATAGTGCACTGTCAAGCATATGCCTAAATCCTGGCTCTCTTGGTTTGTGGTCAGATGAAGTAAAGTGCAGCAAAGCCCCACCTGATCTTCACTCAGGAAGGAGGCTCTGTGAGCTCACAGATGAGCACCATTCTCCTGGAACACAGCAGGGAACTGTGGGCCCTCCTTGGCTGTGCAGGCCCAGACCCGGCATGGAGCTCATACCATGGGAGATGCTGCCAGTGTGGAAACACATTCACTATTGTTTTACACTCTTGCATGTGCACTAGGAGGTCACAGGCGTGTTGTACTTTGTGTTTTGTGTGTGATCAGCAATGCTGACAGAATGATCACCAGGCACAAAGGCAGAGAGAGAGGACATGTGTGTCCCTCTGCACCCCAGACAGCTCTAACTGTTCTCACACTCTGCCTCAGGCTCCCAAGGAGCTGCAGGTACAGTGTGAACCACAGCACGGGGTCAGTGTGTCATGATGTCTCGAAGGTGACCATTGTCACCAAACTCCTCCAGCACAGTCACCTCTGCTCTGGGAGCCCAATCTCTAGACTTCCCCCCAGAACTGCTTTATAGCAGAGGACATGCAAATAGGACGTCCCTCTGCCCATGAAAACCAGCCCATCCTTGACCTGAGCTCTGTGAGCTGATTCCACCAGTGACTGAGCACAGACCAGCACCATGGAGCTGGGGCTGTGCTGGTTTCTCCTAGTTGCTCTGTTGAAAGGTGATGTATGAGGAGCAAGGGATACTGAGTGTGCAAATGAACATGAGTGGGAGGAACAGTGGATGTGTGTGACCACTGCTGACCAGGATTCTCTGTGTTTGCAGGTGTGCAGTGTGAGGTGCAGCTGGTAGAGTCTGAGGGAATCTTGGTGCAGCCTGGGGGGTCCTTGAGACTCTCCTGTGCAGCCTCCGAATTCACCTTCTGTACTTACTGTATGGGCTGGAGTCGCCAGGCTCCAGGGAAGGGACTGGAGTGGGTTGCACGAATGGATCCAGGGGGTGGTAGCACACGGTACCCAGACTCTGTGAAGGGCCGGTTCACCCTCTCCAGAGACAATAGTCAAAGCACGCTGTACCTGCAAATGAGCAGCCTGAGAACCGAGGACACGGCCCTGTATCACTGTGCAGGGCACAGTGAGAGGAGCCAGTGGGGCCCAGACACACAGGTGCAGCAGCCTAGGCCAGCAGGCGCTGAGCCGCGTCAGCTGCAGGTGTGGTGAGGAGGCGGCCCTGGGGTCTGGCCTCCACCCTCCCAGGGCTCCAGGACCCCAGCTGGTGTCTGCCCTGCGCTGCTGCACGGACACAGAGGCTGGGCTCCTTCCATCTGAACGCCAGGCAGGGCCTGACAGAGCAGCGAGGCCCAGGCTCCGGCTCAAGCAGAGCTGGCTCCGCACAGGCCAGGGCGGGTCTGGAGGGCTCAGGGCTCCGGGTGCGTGCTCTCCCGCAGGCTCAGCACAGAGACTCCGGGCTTCCTGCTGAGCACAGACTGGGCCCGGCTGTGGGAGCGGTGACCGCAGACTCCGGAGCCCGCGCTGACAGGACCGGCCTCCGTCCTCCCGCCCAGGCCGCGCTCACAGACCCGGGTGGGCCCCGTGCGCGCGCAGCAGGTCCAGGCTGACGTCACTCACCCGCGCTCCCCTCCCTTCAGGAGTGCGCAGCCGCACTGGGCTGCGCGTCTTCCCGTGGTCCCTGTGGCTGGTCGTCTGGAGGCGGTGGGCGGCCCCTGGCGGCGAGCATGGCCGGCGCGTCCTCCTGCTGGTCACAGGACGCGGCCGTGCATGGGAAGGACGGGGAGGACGGCGGACGGGCGATGGAGGCAAGCGCGCTGTCTGTCCGTCTGTCTTTGCGGAGCCGCACCTCGGGTTGCGGGGTGTGGAAGATGGCTGTGTTGTGTGGTCACCGCTCCGAGCCCGCGGCGGGCGTCTGTCCGCCTCCCTGGGCCGCGTCTCCAGGCCTCGCGGCGCTGCGGCTCCGGCCAGGCCACTCCGGACCCTGTCACGTGGTGTGGGCGGGTGCGCGCCTGCGCACTGGTCCCACGCAGGACTCCTGCGCATGCGCACACTGACCCGCGCTAGGTCTTACCACGATGTCGGCTCTGCGCAGACTCAACGGAGGCCGGTGTCCTCTGTGTCCGTCGAGGTCGAGGACACTAGGCCGTCTGCGCAGAGCCCAGCCCGGCCGCCGTCTGGACAGCCTGTGAGCCGCTCTGAAACCTGACCCACCTGGTAGTGCTGCGTCCTGAGCTCCTCTGAGCGTGCAGCCGCCGAGCTCACCATGGACCCCGAGTCAGAGCCATCGCCATGGCTGCTGTGTGTGGCGCACGAAGCCGAGCACGCGCAGGCGCACTGGACCCCGAGCCAGAGCCCCTCCCCTGGCTGCGGTTAGCCCTGCCAAGCAGAGCGGGATCTGCACGCACATGCGCATTGGCGTCTGATGAGCCAGGCCAGCGGAGCAGTTCGCGCTGAGGAGTTCCTGGCGGTCGGGAGGCGACGAGGTGCGGGACGCGGGTCCCATGGCAGCCGGCAGGAGAGCCGCTGCCTTCCTTCTCCGCGGTGGCCGGCACAGAGAAGGCGGGAGCTGCGCGGGGCTCACGGAGTGAGGGCTGCTCTGCGTGACGGGGCCGTGGATGTGCGGGCTGCGTGTGCACAGGAGTCGGCGCAGGCGCACTGCGCGGTGAGTCCGGGGCCGCGTTCTCCGGCGTGGGCCGTCATGGAGGGACCGCGGCGTCCGCACAGGAGGCCGCGCCGCGGGGAGACGCCTGGCCCAGGCTCGGCCTCCGCGCTGCGGGCCCTGCCGGCGCTGCGGGCCCGTGTCGGCCTCTGCGGACCACATCAGCGGTCTGGGGCCGGGCGCAGCCACAAGGCCCCGCGGCCCAGGGCCAGGGCGGAGCGGAGGCGGCCGAGGCCCAGCGCAGCAGCCTGCCCTGCAGCCAGAAGGCCCGGTCCGAGCCCAGCGGAGCGGGATGGGGAGGCCCGGGCCGCCACGGGGCCGCCAGGGCTTGAAGGACCCGGACGGTGAGAACAGGCTTCCGTCGGTGTGACACGGGAGGTGTCACAGCGGTGTGCGCACTCACACAGACGAGAGCGCGCGTTCCAGAGGGCTGCGCACCGTGCACCTCGACGGGCGTGTGTCCGTCCACTGTGTTTATACACAGTGCCTAGACATGCACACGGGCTCTGTGTCATGTGGGATCCAGATAATTCTGATTCAGGTTACACGTGTACCACCGGGATAGAAGGGGAAGGAAGCATAGATACATATATTCACAGTGTGCACACACATATATTCACAGTGTACACACATATATATTCACAGTGTACACACATATATTTACACTGTGCACACATATATATTCACAGTGTGCACACACATATATATTCACAGTGTGCACACATATATATATTCAGTGTACACACATATATTCACAGTGTACACACATATATTCACAGTGTACACACACATATATATATTCACAGTGTACACACGTATACATTCACAGTGCGCACACATATATATTCACAGGGCACACACACATATATTCACAGTGTACACAGATTTATTCACAGTGCGCACACACATATATATTCACAGTGTACACACATATATTCACAGTGTACACACATATATTCACAGTGTACACACATATACTCACAGTGTACACATATATTCACAGTGTACACACATATATCCACAGTGTACACATATATTCACAGTGTACACACATATATCCACAGTATACACACACATATATATATATATACTCAGTGGACACACATATATATATATTCACAGTGTACATACATATATTCACAATGTACACACACATATTGACAGTGTACACACATACATATTCACAGTATACACATACATATATATATACTCACAATGTACACACATATATATTCAGTGTACACACATGTATATATTCACAGTGTACACACATGTATATATTCACAGTGCACACACACACACTTCCATCACCGGCTGGAAGAGGCAGTCTCCATACCCCTCTGTGGTCCTTCACAGGTGAATTCATTCTCCCTCCTGAGGGGTTCTGGGGGCTGTACAGCAAAGACTGTACTCTGAGTGGAGGCTGTTGGCCTTGCTGCCATGCCCAGCTCTCTTCAGACACTGGACACCCCGATGGACAGGACAGTCTTAGCCTTGCTCATGGGGTCCTGGACAGGGTGCTGACCTGTGTCCTGGCCAAGAGCTGATATCCTGCACTTGTTCTGTGGTGGAGTCTGGAACTGAACATGAGGCAGTCCTGCAATGGAGCCCCTGCACAGGTGAGGCCCAGCCTCCTTCCCCGAGTAGAGCCCTCCATTAGCAGCCTGGATGGAGCCCCAACAAACACAGGGACCAGGGACACCCAATCCTGCATGGTACACATGGGACTCCTCAGAGAGGGGTCAGCTTACTGAGCTGGTCAACCAGGAACAACAGGAACTCAAGGACCTGTGATCAACACTGACTGTCTGTGAGCACTGCACAGAATTCTGTTTGTGCAAATGGGAATGAGATGTGACCATATTGACAGCACAGATACCTGAGCGAAGCTGTGCAGACCTGAGTCCATCCACCATGGTTCCCAGGGTTCCAAGTTCAGTGAGGTCACACACAGCCCCACATATCAGAGGGCCGCCTCCCTCCCTCTCCCTCTAAACCCAGGTCACGTCTTGAGCTAACAAGCACCTGCTTCATGAATATGCAAACAAGCAGCACCTGCGGTGGACAATATAGACAGGCTCCTTCCCAGAGCAGCCTGCTGTCGCCTCTCCTGTGACACCCAGAGCTCAGAGCCCACTATGCACCTGAACTGGAGCTTCCTCTTCTGGGTGGCCACAGCTACAGGTGAGTGCTGCCCAGGACCAGCCCCAAAGGACCAGAGCCTCACCAGAGAGTTCACACCTACCCTCTCCTCTGCAGGTGTTCACTCCCAGGTCCAGCTGGAGCAGCCTGGGGCTGAAGTGTGGAGACCTGGAGACTTGGTCAGGCTAGCCTGCAAGGCCTCTGGATATACCTTCACCAGCTATTATATGCACTGAGTGAGGCAGTAGTCAGGACAGGGGCTTGAATGGATTGGAAGGATTGACCCTGAAGATGGTGAGACCAAATATGCTCAGAAGGTCCAGGGCAAGGTCTCCCTGACTGCAGACACCTCCTCCAGCACAGCCTCCATGGAGCTGAGCAGGCTGACAGCTGAGGACTCGACCATGTACGACTGTACGAGGCACAGTGTGCACACCCACATCCTGAGTGTGTCAGAAACCTGAGGCAAGGCAGCTGCCTGGGGCTGTGAGGAGAAGGCTGCAGACCTGAGCCCATGCTGAATGTGGGAAAGGTTCCACCATCACCATTCTCAGAAAACACAGACAGCAAGGGGTTCCCAGTGAATAAAGCCAGGGCAAACACTCCCAGCTAATAGTCATGTGAACACGTTTTCCAGTCAACTGATCCCCTGTCTACAGAGCTTTTAGCATAAAAGGATGCTGGAGTTTGTCAAAAGCTTTTTCTGCATCAAGATGATCATTTTTTGTTCTAGATATACATAGGTATATAACGCTGTGTAGATATGCACGCATGTATTTGTGTGTAGAACAAGTTTATTCCATGTGTGTTATATATATGTGTGTATATGTTGCTCTAATGTGTACTCTATGTATAACTTCACACATTTATATACATATACAAATCTAATTTGCTTTCATGTAGTTTCTGTCTATATGTACATGTTCATATGCAAATTTGCAATGCACATCTATGTACACAACACAGAGATTTATCGACCCTCTTTTCACTGAAATATGAGGGGAGGAGTTTTTATATATCCTGCACTGTCCATCATCTGGGAATACATCTAGAACCTGAAAGTCTGTTTCCTCTTATTTGTGTCCTATGAACTGGTAAACCAGACAAGGGACTACAGGCTCATCAAACACCTACTCCACAGGGAATATTCACCCAGGACCTCTTCCCCTCCTCTTACATGTTCTCTTCACACGGACGTCTTCTCTTCCCTTACACATTCATTTCACATGGGACGTCTTACCTTCCTCTTACACATTCACTTCACATCAGATCTCTTCCCTTCCACTTACACGTTCACTTCACAATGGACCTCTTTTCTTCCCTTACACATTCACGTCACACAGGACCACTTTTCTTCCTTACACATTCACATAAAAGGAACAACCTCTATGCAATTGCAGAACCAAAATAATTCATAAACCATATTTGTTTAACTTCAGGTTCATCCTCATTGTAATATTTCTGCTTGTAGAAAACCTATTCTGTTACAATATGGA